CGGACGCGGACGCAGTCGCAGCAACCTGAGGGGACTCAGTAGTCAGTGTGTACAGGTCCGACCCCGGCTGCCGAGTGAAGGTAGCCAAGTGACGGCCCGTACGAGCACACGTGCAGTGTGTCACGCGCTCGTAGGCAGGGGTGAACTGGTGAACACCCCCGTCCTGGAGTGCACAGCCTGCCACCAAGTTCGTAGAGAACGAGGGGAGGTGGAGACCTGACAGTGTGCCCGACGGGACCGCAGGGCAGGGAAGGACAGTGGAAGAGGTCGCAATGACCGGACCCCCAGAGGGGTCAGCAAGGGAGACAGCAACTGGTCGAGCAAGCGGCTCAAGGGCAGTGCGGTCACGAAAGAAGCAGCGAGAAGCACCTGAGTCCAGTGTGAAGGTGTGCAGTGCGGCAGTCGACGCAGTACCAAGGGGGGGAGACACACGAGCACCTAGAGCAGCAGCCTCACCAGCACCTGGGGTAGCCGACACGTGAGTACCTGGAGCGGCAGACGCACTGGCCCTAATGCCCGGGTCGGGCGGCACACACAAGTACTCAGCACCCTCTCCACTAGTAGACATCACATACATGGCAGATAGAATAGCATCAAAGTCTAGAGCATAGATATCAATCCCCTTCTTCAGGAGATCAAGCCAGCGGGGCAGCTCAGTGGCCTGAGGGAACTGAACACGCCAAGCGTCGTCGAGACGAGAGAAGCAGCGCTGTGTGGCGTGCGGTCGTCCACACTGCTGACCAGTGCGGTCACCAGTGCGAATGAAGTACGTGCAGCTAAGACCACCCCCACCCCCGTGCTGAGAGTACCACTCACGGACCTCCTGGGGCGAGAGAGTGTGCTGCTGGCCCTGGCCACCGCCAGCGCCTCCACGGCCACCACCACCGCTGCCACCTCCTCGACCACCCCAACCCCTGCCGCCGCCTCGTCCACCGCCACCCCAACCGCCGCCTCCACTCCTGCCACCTCCCCCGCCGCTGCCGCCACCACCCCCACCGCTACCACTCGCCCCTCCAGCCGAGCCACCACCCCCACTGCCTCCACCGCCCCCACCGCCGCCTCCCCCGCCGTCACCGCCACTACCCTTGCCCCCTTTGCCCTTGCCGCTGCGGCGTCCGCTCGAGGCAGACGCAGCGCCGACCTTCTCAGTACCAAGAAGGTCGACAGCAGCAGCAGAGGCGACAGAGGGAAGAAGGGGGGAAGGAGAACACCCCTCAAAGAACGGGGTACGGGGGTCGCCACGAGAGGCACCTACAGCGACTATGCTAGCCTCAGCTGCAAGTAGCTCCTTCTCGAGGAGGGAAATGGTGAGCTCAGTGGGGCAACGAGCTAGGAAGTGGTCCCTGACAGCACGCAGTGTGTCAGGGAGGCGGGTGACTAGGTGATAGAGAGTGAGCCAGAGTGGAGGGGGGTGCGTGGCAAGGAACTCAGCAGGCATGGCGGCACGGAAGCGGGCCTCACTAGTACGGAGGTGCGTGAGGAGGTCAGCGACTGTGTGAAAGGAGGCCAGGTCGGGAAACAGGTAGGGGAGGGAGAGACGGCCTAGTGCGGCAGAGGCAGGTGAGGAGTAGCGAGCAACTACAGCTGTGTACAGTGCCGGTGCAGTCTTGTGCTGACCAAAGTGCTCGCGTTCGTCTATCGGCAGGGAGTTGCGAATGGCGAAGCGAGCGTGGGCATCACGAGTCTGCCACTGTGAGCGAGCAGTGCTGTCAGCAGTAGCAGCAGGGGCAGTGACAAGGCCTAGGGCGTGATCGTACAGTGAGATGTCATCCTTGGCTGTGAGCTGTAGGTAGAGGTGCAGGTCATCGAGCCAGGTGTCAAACTTCACAGGGCGGCCCTCAGCATCGAACACGAGAACCTGTGGGCTAGCCATAGGAACAGTAGAAATAGCAGCAGTAGCGGTAGGAGAAGCAGGTAGGACGAACCAGGTAGGGCAGGGCGGCGCGGCTCGGTTCAGGTCGGGTCGCGGCTCGGCTGGGTGGCGCGGCTCGGCTCGGGGCGCGCGGCTCGGCTCAGGTCACGGCGGGGACGGGCCGCCCGCTCTCCCTCTTGTGCTGCGGCGGGAACGGGCCGCCCGGGGCCTCTGGGTGGTGGGCACGGGTCGGCGAGGTAGGCACGGGGCCGGTTGGGGCCCTAGAGGGGCGAGCGCGGGGCCGATCGGGGCCTGAGCGGGGCTAGCGCGGGGCCAAACGGGGCCTTGACGGGGCTAGCAAGGGGCCGACGGGGCCTGAACGGGGCTAGCGCGGGGCCGACGGGGCCTGAAACGGGGCCGAAGGGGCCTGAAACGGGGCTAGCGCGGGCCCGATCGGGGCCTGAATGGGGCTAGCGCGGGGCCGACGGGGCCTGAGAGGGGCTAGCGCGGGGCCTACGGGGCCTGAGACGGGGCTAGCGCGGGCCGACGGGGCCTGAAACGGGGCTAGCGCGGGCCGACGGGGCCTGAGAGGGGCTAGCGCGGGGCCGACGGGGCCTGAAACGGGGCCGACGGGGCCTGAAACGGGGCTAGCGCGGGCCGACGGGGCCTGAGAGGGGCTAGCGCGGGGCCGACGGGGCCTGAAAAGGGGCCGACGGGGCCTGAAACGGGGCTAGCGCGGGTCGACGGGGCCTGAGAGGGGCTAGCGTGGGGCCGACGGGGCCTGAAACGGGGCCGACGGGGCCTAAACGGGGCTAGCGCGGGGCCTGAACGGGGCCTTAAAGGGGCCGGCGGGGCCTGAACGGGGCTAGCGCGGGGCCGTCAAGAGGGGCCTCTAGGGGCGTGACACGCCGAGGCGCCCTAGGGCACGGGTAGGTAGGTAGGTAGGTAGTTACGTAGTGGTGGGCCCTTAGAAAATTTCGGTCCTAGGAAGGACCTGCTCTATACCATGTTGGAATCACTGAACAGGAATGAATGAACTAGCAATGAAAAAAGTACAAGTACCTAACCCTAGAATTGTGTACCCCCTATAGGCTAACCCACTGTAGCCTAAACTAACACAACATATATAATGTTTGACACGCTAGCCAACTGGCGCAGTATTCTCGCAAGCCAGTAGCTGAGAACCAGCTGGATCTGGAATGCGCCCTGCAGTACTTCATCTCCACACCTAACATTGGGCTCTCCTATTCTACGCTGACGACGACCTCCTTCAACCTCAACGGCTACGTGGACGCAGATCATGCAGCCGATCCTGCAAATCGACGGTCCCGAACCGGCTTCGTTTTTCGCCTGGAACCAACTGGGCCAATCTCTTGGAACTCACAGAAGCAGGAACTGGTTGCCCTGTCATCGGCTGAAGCGGAATACATCGCCGCAACAGCAGCAGTTCGCGAAGGGCTGTACCTGCAGGAGCTGTTACAGGAGGCGAAAATTCCAACCTCGCCTACCTTTCGCCTTCACTGCGACAACCAGAGTGCTATCAAGATCGCGAACAAGCCAGGTTTCGTGAACCGCACAAAGCACATCGCACTTCGGTACTTTTTCGTCAAGGACGAAATTGACCAAGGAAAAGTTGACCTTGCCTACTGTCCAACTACTGAGATGGCGGCAGACTTCCTCACCAAGTGTCTGCCACGTCAGCAGTACAAGCACTGCTCTGACCTCACCGGAGTAGTCAAGCGAGTCAGCTCCTCCTGCGCCCAGGAGTGTTACGATATGAAGTTTTATGAGAAGGCATTCCTGTATGCTGCAGGAGCCGACTCTACCGAGTACGAAGTCGAGGAGTCAGAAGAGTCGAAGCAACGCAGCAACCGTTTGACCAAGACCGATGCAGGCAGAAACACTTGAAGTGAAAAGAACGGGAACAGGTTCAAAACGGGTTCCCGCGCCGCACGGTTTGAATTCGCTGCAATAAGGGAATGTACCCCTTAGAGTACATGGCTAGTCTAGGTCTTTTCGTATTCCCCTGTATTCTTATATAAACCCGATGTATGCATGCTTTTATAAACCCAGTCATTTACATTCACTCTGACCTGAGATTCAAACTTCCGTTGCAATACTACTCTGCGATCAACCCTGAGCGATCCTTCGCTAAGTCCCACTTGGGATTGTAACATATTGTGATGCGTGATTGCCGAGCCACATTCATATTAACCACATTTACAAAGTGCACATGATCAATGTAACAAGTGTACAGATATTTGAGATTTGCAAATACTGTATAAAACAGTTCCCAAAACCACCTGGACGAGGCTTGGCCCGGACCACCCTGCCGTACCACAACCTTTCATACAGAAATACCGTATTTGCGACAGTGACGCACGTTTGCATTCTTCTTCGACATGTTACACTACACTACTCCACGCCCTTCAATCCTCGATCCATACGTTACACCCGCTCGGACGCTCCCTCCCGTCACTGCTCCTCCCCACGCCCGTGTCGCGTCACCTCCCGTCACTGCTCCTCGCGTCGCGCTGCGCATCCAGCCAGCTACTTTATCCCCGTGGATGGACCCCTCGATGCTTCTGTCCTTCGCGGCCGGATTCTGCGGGCAGGCAGCGGCTGTGGTGGTGCGGCTGCGACCCACGCTGCTGTTTCTGGAGCGACTCGTGCAGTCGCTGCTAGAACCGAGGATAGGCCGCCGCAATACGCGCACGCTGCTGGCGCGTGAGCTGTGAAACGGGGGAGCGCGGAGCAGGAAGGGGCGGGGGAGTGGTGCGCGGGAGGGGTCGGGGGAGGTGACGCGGGCGGTGAGCTGGAAGCGGAGGTCGGAGAAGAGAGGTCAAGCGGTTGCCGGAACGCGAGCTTATAGGGACGAGCACTTAGTCCCCTGTACAGTTTAGGTGAACTGTACAAGTCTATCCCATGCTGAGAGCAGCAGTAACCCATGTAAATCCTAGCAGCCGATGATACACCATGCCTTCATGCCATTCCATGTGGCTATACCATACCGTCCAGGCATGTGGCCACGCCATGCCATGGCATGGCATGACTAACCAAACAACCACAGCTAAAATGCTCCATGCACTACCGTATGCCATGCCATGCATGCGACTCCCACCTACCCGTCAGCCCAACAGACTGTCCCCTACAGCCAACCGCCGCTCTCCCTCACCATCCCCAACGCCTCCTCCAACCCAACGAACTCAGCCCAGCGGGCTGTCCCCTACTGCTAACCGCTCCACATCTTCAGATACCGCCTCTCCGCCTCCCTCACCTTCCCCAACGCCTCCTCCAACCCAACGAACTCAACCCAACGGACTTAACCCAGCGGACTGTCCCCTACTGCTAACCGCTCCACACCTTCCGATACCTCCTCCACTCCATCCCCCCTCTCTTCTCCCTCTTCCTCTGCCCTGCTTCCTCCCTCCTCCTCCCCGTAATGTTCCGGTTCGACAAACCGCAACCAGTTACTCGCCTGGCTTCGGAATTGCGCTGCATCTGACTCCTCCTCTTCCTCCTCCTCCTCCTCACTCTCATTCCCCTGGCCCGCCTCTCCTCCCGCCTCCTCTCCCTCCATCACACCCCCCTCCTCTGTCCCTCCTGCAAGAGGGCCCCCAGTAGTACCTTCCCTAGAAAGCACCTCCCCTTCCGCCCCTTCCAGTACCTGCGGTGCTGCACTCGTTGCCTCCTCCCCATCATCCTCCCCCGCAGTTATATCACTGCTGCTGCCACTCACCCCTCTCACCGCTTCCCCTACGCCTCCTCCTCCCAATCCTGCTGCTGTGCTAATACCTGGAAGAGCCTCGATCGAATGAAGGGATGTAGAAGGGGAAATGGGGCCCACAAGTGTGTCGCGACCAGTTGTTAGTGAAGCACTGGCTTTCCCAGACCCTGCTGCAGCATCTGCTGATAATGGTGGTCCAGTCAGCATAGCAGCTCCTGCCGTGAGAGCAGTTGCAGCAGCCACAGAAGCAGCAGCAGCAGCAGCAGGTGCAGTGACACCAGGCAAATTTTCTCCTGTTGAGCCACTATCACTGATCCCCCCTTCTGGTACTGGCACCAAAGCTGGTGGCGGCTGCAGCGGCGAGCCTTGCCAAGCCAAGCCAAGAGGATCGAGCGGAGGCGAGAGAGGATCGAAAGGATTCGCCGAAGCTAGCGGCGAGGCATGGTGTTCCAGGGGTGCAGGCGTGGAGAGAGGCAGAGAGGAGGAGGAGGAGGAGGGCAAGTCGTGCGGAATCGAAGGGATGGACGAGGAGAAGACAGAAGCAGCAGAGGTGAAAGACGACGCTGCAGAATCACCAGCCCCAGCAGAAGAACCCGCAGGAGCAGCAAGCGCATGAGCGTGCGAGTCAGCAAGAGCAGAAGAAGCATCACCAGCCGGAGGAAGGACAGTAGGAGCCACAGGAGCCACAGGAGCCACAGGAACGGTAGGGGCGAGAATGTCGGTATGGCCGGGTTCTCTCTCTGCGTCCACTCGGCGGAGGTGCAGGAAGAGGTGCAGGTTGACTTCATCAGCTCGTGAGAGGAAAGGGAAGTCGCCTCCGCTCTTGAGAAACGCACGCGTGGCGTTGGGGTAGCGCGTGTACAGCGCGTCCCGGAGTTGCCCTGGGGGGTGGGTGAGGGAGGGGAGGGGAGGGAAGGAAAGAGGTGCGGAGGTGCAGGAAGAGGTGCAGGTTGACCTCATCGGCTCGCGAGAGAAATGCGCGCGTGACGTTGGGGTAGCGCGTGTACAGCGCGTCCCGGGGGGTGGGTGAGGGGGATAGGAGGAAAGGGATGGTGTGAGGTGTGGAGGGGTGTGGTGCGGTGTGGAGGGAACTGGGAGGGAGGTTGAGGGCGGTTGAAAGAGATGCAATTTAGAAGAAGAGGGCAGGTTTTCGATGTATGTTCCACTATGGGAGAAGCAGCAGGTTAACTGTCAAGACATACCACCCAACCCCACACATCCCAACGCACACTGACACCACTCCTGCACCCACCCAAGCAATCCAACCCCCCCTTCCCCCCTTGACCCACCCAACCCACCCACCCCCCACGCCCTTCCCCTGCCTCACAAGCGACAGCAGCAAAGTCATTGCAGTCCATGAGCGTCATGCTCTGCTCCGGCATCTGCTGCAGCGGCGGCAGCACGGCGGGCAGCGTGTTGAGTGTGAGGCGCGAGGCGAGCTCGGAGCGGGAGAGCGAGTCCAGGCGCGAGACAACAAAGTCGATGGAGTCCGCTATGAGTGGCTCGTGTGGGCCGTCCCTCAGGCCTGAGAGCACCAGCCGCTTCAGCACAAAGTCAGGGGAATAGGGGAACCTGGGAGAGGGGGACGAGGCAGGAGAGGAAGGGAGAGAGGGAGAGAGAGCGGGAGGGAGAGAGAGAGTGAGAGGGAGAGAGAGAGGGAGGGAGGGAGATAGGGAGGGGAAGAGTGGGAGAGCGAGTCCAGGCGCGGGACGACAAAGTCGATGGAGTCCGCTATGAGTGGCTCGTGTGGGCCGTCCCTCAGGCCTGAGAGCACCAGCCGCTTCAGCACAAAGTCAGGGGAATAAGGGAACCTGGGCGAGGAGGGGAATGAGACAGGAGAGAGGGGGAGAGAGAGGGAGGGACAGAGGCAGGAAGAAGGCGAGGTGAATGAGAAAGGAGAGGGCGGGAGAGAGGGAGGGGAGGAGGGTGGCGGAGAGGGCGGGAGAGAGGGAGGGGAGGAGGGTGGCGGAGAGGGCGGGAGAGAGGGAGGGGAGGAGGGTGGCGGAGAGGCGGGAAAAGAGGCAGGGAGATGTAAACACGCATACGAGAGGGTACATGCATATACAAGTGCGGATACAATGGTGCTAAGGCATGCATACACATGAGCACTCGTGCATGTATGTATGTAGGGATGCACTCATACATACATGGAGGACCAGGATCCGAAGGCGAAATAGAGGAAGTGCGTGTCGAAGAACGAATGACTTGGAGAGCACGAGCATGGAAGGATGCATGCAGACACACGTGCACATATACGCACGCAATTGCACACGCACATGGAGGACCAGGAGCCAAAGGCGACGTTGAAGAAGTGCGTGTCGAAGAACGAGTTGGAGAGCACGAGTGACAGCAGGGCACATGCATACCGTGCATACACATGTGCACTCGTGCAAGTATGTAGGGATGCACACATACATACATGGAGGACCAGGAGCCAAAGGCGACGTTGAAGAAGTGCGTGTCGAAGAACGAGTTGGAGAGCACGAGTGACAGCACCCGCCGCGGCCGCTGCTGCGCGTACAGCTGGAACAGAAACCCGCCCAGGGACGTGCCGTATAGATGCACCTGGGGGGGAGGGGGCGCGGGAGGGGGATAGGGTGGCGGGGAGTGGCGTAGGGAGCGGCAAAGGTAAGGGGAGGGAGGGGAAGGAGGGAGGTACGGCTGGAACAGATACCCGCCCAGGGACGTGCCGTATAGATGCACCTGGGGTAGAAGGGGAGGGGACGGGGGATGGGAGGGGGGGTTGAAGGGGGAGGGGAGCAAGTGAGGAGAGAGAGAGGGGATGAGGAAGGAGGGTGGGAAGTGGAGTGTGTGTGTGCGAGAGAATGAGTGTGTTGGTTAAGATGGGGAGTGAGATGAACAAGAGGAGGTCCAGGAGGGGGGAGGGGGGGGGGGGGGGGGAGGGAGAGCGGGGGTGAGGAGCAAAACGGAGAGTGGAGAAAGGCTGCAAACACGCACAACCAAAGCACGCAACACACAGAGGAGATTCAGATTGGAAGCAAACCATGCTGCTCAAAGCACTCCCCCTTTGCTCCCCTTTCCTCCACCAGATCCTCCCCCTTTGCTCCCCTTTCCTCCACCAGATCCTCCCCCTTTGCTCCCCTTTCCTCCACCAGATCCTCCCCCTTTGCTCCCCTTTCCTCCACCAGATCCTCCCCCTTTGCTCCCCTTTCCTCCACCAGATCCTCCCCCTTTGCTCCCCTTTCCTCCACCAGATCCTCCCCCTTTGCTCCCCTTTCCTCCACCAGATCCTCCCCCTTTGCTCCCCTTTCCTCCACCAGATCCTCCCCCTTTGCTCCCCTTTCCTCCACCAGATCCTCCCCCTTTGCTCCCCTTTCCTCCACCAGATCCTCCCCCTTTGCTCCCCTTTCCTCCACCAGATCCTCCCCCTTTGCTCCCCTTTCCTCCACCAGATCCTCCCCCTTTGCTCCCCTTTCCTCCACCAGATCCTCCCCCTTTGCTCCCCTTTCCTCCACCAGATCCTCCCCCTTTGCTCCCCTTTCCTCCACCAGATCCTCCCCCTTTGCTCCCCTTTCCTCCACCAGATCCTCCCCCTTTGCTCCCCTTTCCTCCACCAGATCCTCCCCCTTTGCTCCCCTTTCCTCCACCAGATCCTCCCCCTTTGCTCCCCTTTCCTCCACCAGATCCTCCCCCTTTGCTCCCCTTTCCTCCACCAGATCCTCCCCCTTTGCTCCCCTTTCCTCCACCAGATCCTCCCCCTTTGCTCCCCTTTCCTCCACCAGATCCTCCCCCTTTGCTCCCCTTTCCTCCACCAGATCCTCCCCCTTTGCTCCCCTTTCCTCCACCAGATCCTCCCCCTTTGCTCCCCTTTCCTCCACCAGATCCTCCCCCTTTGCTCCCCTTTCCTCCACCAGATCCTCCCCCTTTGCTCCCCTTTCCTCCACCAGATCCTCCCCCTTTGCTCCCCTTTCCTCCACCAGATCCTCCCCCTTTGCTCCCCTTTCCTCCACCAGATCCTCCCCCTTTGCTCCCCTTTCCTCCACCAGATCCTCCCCCTTTGCTCCCCTTTCCTCCACCAGATCCTCCCCCTTTGCTCCCCTTTCCTCCACCAGATCCTCCCCCTTTGCTCCCCTTTCCTCCACCAGATCCTCCCCCTTTGCTCCCCTTTCCTCCACCAGATCCTCCCCCTTTGCTCCCCTTTCCTCCACCAGATCCTCCCCCTTTGCTCCCCTTTCCTCCACCAGATCCTCCCCCTTTGCTCCCCTTTCCTCCACCAGATCCTCCCCCTTTGCTCCCCTTTCCTCCACCAGATCCTCCCCCTTTGCTCCCCTTTCCTCCACCAGATCCTCCCCCTTTGCTCCCCTTTCCTCCACCAGATCCTCCCCCTTTGCTCCCCTTTCCTCCACCAGATCCTCCCCCTTTGCTCCCCTTTCCTCCACCAGATCCTCCCCCTTTGCTCCCCTTTCCTCCACCAGATCCTCCCCCTTTGCTCCCCTTTCCTCCACCAGATCCTCCCCCTTTGCTCCCCTTTCCTCCACCAGATCCTCCCCCTTTGCTCCCCTTTCCTCCACCAGATCCTCCCCCTTTGCTCCCCTTTCCTCCACCAGATCCTCCCCCTTTGCTCCCCTTTCCTCCACCAGATCCTCCCCCTTTGCTCCCCTTTCCTCCACCAGATCCTCCCCCTTTGCTCCCCTTTCCTCCACCAGATCCTCCCCCTTTGCTCCCCTTTCCTCCACCAGATCCTCCCCCTTTGCTCCCCTTTCCTCCACCAGATCCTCCCCCTTTGCTCCCCTTTCCTCCACCAGATCCTCCCCCTTTGCTCCCCTTTCCTCCACCAGATCCTCCCCCTTTGCTCCCCTTTCCTCCACCAGATCCTCCCCCTTTGCTCCCCTTTCCTCCACCAGATCCTCCCCCTTTGCTCCCCTTTCCTCCACCAGATCCTCCCCCTTTGCTCCCCTTTCCTCCACCAGATCCTCCCCCTTTGCTCCCCTTTCCTCCACCAGATCCTCCCCCTTTGCTCCCCTTTCCTCCACCAGATCCTCCCCCTTTGCTCCCCTTTCCTCCACCAGATCCTCCCCCTTTGCTCCCCTTTCCTCCACCAGATCCTCCCCCTTTGCTCCCCTTTCCTCCACCAGATCCTCCCCCTTTGCTCCCCTTTCCTCCACCAGATCCTCCCCCTTTGCTCCCCTTTCCTCCACCAGATCCTCCCCCTTTGCTCCCCTTTCCTCCACCAGATCCTCCCCCTTTGCTCCCCTTTCCTCCACCAGATCCTCCCCCTTTGCTCCCCTTTCCTCCACCAGATCCTCCCCCTTTGCTCCCCTTTCCTCCACCAGATCCTCCCCCTTTGCTCCCCTTTCCTCCACCAGATCCTCCCCCTTTGCTCCCCTTTCCTCCACCAGATCCTCCCCCTTTGCTCCCCTTTCCTCCACCAGATCCTCCCCCTTTGCTCCCCTTTCCTCCACCAGATCCTCCCCCTTTGCTCCCCTTTCCTCCACCAGATCCTCCCCCTTTGCTCCCCTTTCCTCCACCAGATCCTCCCCCTTTGCTCCCCTTTCCTCCACCAGATCCTCCCCCTTTGCTCCCCTTTCCTCCACCAGATCCTCCCCCTTTGCTCCCCTTTCCTCCACCAGATCCTCCCCCTTTGCTCCCCTTTCCTCCACCAGATCCTCCCCCTTTGCTCCCCTTTCCTCCACCAGATCCTCCCCCTTTGCTCCCCTTTCCTCCACCAGATCCTCCCCCTTTGCTCCCCTTTCCTCCACCAGATCCTCCCCCTTTGCTCCCCTTTCCTCCACCAGATCCTCCCCCTTTGCTCCCCTTTCCTCCACCAGATCCTCCCCCTTTGCTCCCCTTTCCTCCACCAGATCCTCCCCCTTTGCTCCCCTTTCCTCCACCAATCCTCCCCTTGCTCCCTTTCCTCCACCAGATCCTCCCCCTTTGCTCCCCTTTCCTCCACCAGATCCTCCCCCTTTGCTCCCCTTTCCTCCACCAGATCCTCCCCCTTTGCTCCCCTTTCCTCCACCAGATCCTCCCCCTTTGCTCCCCTTTCCTCCACCAGATCCTCCCCCTTTGCTCCCCTTTCCTCCACCAGATCCTCCCCCTTTGCTCCCCTTTCCTCCACCAGATCCTCCCCCTTTGCTCCCCTTTCCTCCACCAGATCCTCCCCCTTTGCTCCCCTTTCCTCCACCAGATCCTCCCCCTTTGCTCCCCTTTCCTCCACCAGATCCTCCCCCTTTGCTCCCCTTTCCTCCACCAGATCCTCCCCCTTTGCTCCCCTTTCCTCCACCAGATCCTCCCCCTTTGCTCCCCTTTCCTCCACCAGATCCTCCCCCTTTGCTCCCCTTTCCTCCACCAGATCCTCCCCCTTTGCTCCCCTTTCCTCCACCAGATCCTCCCCCTTTGCTCCCCTTTCCTCCACCAGATCCTCCCCCTTTGCTCCCCTTTCCTCCACCAGATCCTCCCCCTTTGCTCCCCTTTCCTCCACCAGATCCTCCCCCTTTGCTCCCCTTTCCTCCACCAGATCCTCCCCCTTTGCTCCCCTTTCCTCCACCAGATCCTCCCCCTTTGCTCCCCTTTCCTCCACCAGATCCTCCCCCTTTGCTCCCCTTTCCTCCACCAGATCCTCCCCCTTTGCTCCCCTTTCCTCCACCAGATCCTCCCCCTTTGCTCCCCTTTCCTCCACCAGATCCTCCCCCTTTGCTCCCCTTTCCTCCACCAGATCCTCCCCCTTTGCTCCCCTTTCCTCCACCAGATCCTCCCCCTTTGCTCCCCTTTCCTCCACCAGATCCTCCCCCTTTGCTCCCCTTTCCTCCACCAGATCCTCCCCCTTTGCTCCCCTTTCCTCCACCAGATCCTCCCCCTTTGCTCCCCTTTCCTCCACCAGATCCTCCCCCTTTGCTCCCCTTTCCTCCACCAGATCCTCCCCCTTTGCTCCCCTTTCCTCCACCAGATCCTCCCCCTTTGCTCCCCTTTCCTCCACCAGATCCTCCCCCTTTGCTCCCCTTTCCTCCACCAGATCCTCCCCCTTTGCTCCCCTTTCCTCCACCAGATCCTCCCCCTTTGCTCCCCTTTCCTCCACCAGATCCTCCCCCTTTGCTCCCCTTTCCTCCACCAGATCCTCCCCCTTTGCTCCCCTTTCCTCCACCAGATCCTCCCCCTTTGCTCCCCTTTCCTCCACCAGATCCTCCCCCTTTGCTCCCCTTTCCTCCACCAGATCCTCCCCCTTTGCTCCCCTTTCCTCCACCAGATCCTCCCCCTTTGCTCCCCTTTCCTCCACCAGATCCTCCCCCTTTGCTCCCCTTTCCTCCACCAGATCCTCCCCCTTTGCTCCCCTTTCCTCCACCAGATCCTCCCCCTTTGCTCCCCTTTCCTCCACCAGATCCTCCCCCTTTGCTCCCCTTTCCTCCACCAGATCCTCCCCCTTTGCTCCCCTTTCCTCCACCAGATCCTCCCCCTTTGCTCCCCTTTCCTCCACCAGATCCTCCCCCTTTGCTCCCCTTTCCTCCACCAGATCCTCCCCCTTTGCTCCCCTTTCCTCCACCAGATCCTCCCCCTTTGCTCCCCTTTCCTCCACCAGATCCTCCCCCTTTGCTCCCCTTTCCTCCACCAGATCCTCCCCCTTTGCTCCCCTTTCCTCCACCAGATCCTCCCCCTTTGCTCCCCTTTCCTCCACCAGATCCTCCCCCTTTGCTCCCCTTTCCTCCACCAGATCCTCCCCCTTTGCTCCCCTTTCCTCCACCAGATCCTCCCCCTTTGCTCCCCTTTCCTCCACCAGATCCTCCCCCTTTGCTCCCCTTTCCTCCACCAGATCCTCCCCCTTTGCTCCCCTTTCCTCCACCAGATCCTCCCCCTTTGCTCCCCTTTCCTCCACCAGATCCTCCCCCTTTGCTCCCCTTTCCTCCACCAGATCCTCCCCCTTTGCTCCCCTTTCCTCCACCAGATCCTCCCCCTTTGCTCCCCTTTCCTCCACCAGATCCTCCCCCTTTGCTCCCCTTTCCTCCACCAGATCCTCCCCCTTTGCTCCCCTTTCCTCCACCAGATCCTCCCCCTTTGCTCCCCTTTCCTCCACCAGATCCTCCCCCTTTGCTCCCCTTTCCTCCACCAGATCCTCCCCCTTTGCTCCCCTTTCCTCCACCAGATCCTCCCCCTTTGCTCCCCTTTCCTCCACCAGATCCTCCCCCTTTGCTCCCCTTTCCTCCACCAGATCCTCCCCCTTTGCTCCCCTTTCCTCCACCAGATCCTCCCCCTTTGCTCCCCTTTCCTCCACCAGATCCTCCCCCTTTGCTCCCCTTTCCTCCACCAGATCCTCCCCCTTCGACTCCCCACCTCCCTAATCCCCTCCCTCCCCACCATCCCCTCTCCCCACCCCCTCTCCTACCTGCCCCACCCCACCCCCAACCTCAATCCCCCTCCCCACCTGCTCCTCCTCTCTCATCCCCCCCCCCCCCCCCCTCTCTCCCCCCCCCCCCGCGTCGCGCCTACCTGGTGCACCCGAAGCGCGTCTAGAAACTGGTCGACGGCTTTAATCCACTGTTGGTGCGACCACACGGGCGGAGGGTCCGCGGCGATCACGCGGAAGCCCTTGGCGGCGAGCGCCAGCACCTGCTTGTGGAAGGCGTCCGCGGTCGCCGCCACGCCGCCCAGACACAGCAGCGGCGGGATCGCCTTGGGCCCGAAGTCGTAGTAGCGCCAGCTGCGGGTAAACCGAGGGGAGAGATGCGGGGAGGCGGAGAGGGGCGGGGAAGGGGGGAACGGGCCGGGAAAGCAGAAAGAGGCGGGGAGCGGGGAGAGGAGGAAAAGGGGGAAGGGATCGGGGAGAGGTCGACAAGAAAGTGGGGGGACGGAGGAAGGGGGTATGGGGGCGGGTAGGAAACAAAGAGGGAAAAGAAAGAATGAAAGAAAACAAAGAGCAAGAAACAAGAGGGATCGAATGGGGGAATGGCCAAAAAAGGGGCGAAGAGGGCTGTAGAAGACGCATGAAACTGGATGGGCGCTGTGACGTGGCAAACCAGGGACAGACCAAGCGATTAAAATACGCCAAGGCAGGGACACAGCGCGTAGACGCAATCTACGGTAGCTCTTGAGCTAGGAGCAAAAACGCTAGCTAGCTCCTAGACAGATCAACGCAGGGACGCATCAGCGCATAAACGCGTCCTCTGCTAGCTCTGACAGCTTCTCTTGATCCTCCCCGTGCTTGATGTAAGAATGGATCGACAGCAGCGACAACGGCGGAGGCGGCAACGGCAACGGCAACGGCAAGTGCAACGGCGACAGCGGCGGCGGCAGCGGCAACGCCAGGCGGTAGCAGCGGCAGCAGCGAGGAGCGTACCGCAGTTGGTTCCCGACGCCGACGGAGATCTGGCGCTCCGGCACCGTGGCTTTAAAGTGCTTGTACTGGTAGTCGTGCTGCTGCCCCATGCCTGCTGCTCCCCACCTGTTATCCGCTCGAATACGAACGACTCGCCGATCGTCCTGCCGGCTCGTTGCTACAGACCGAGACGAGGATGCGAATGTTGACGAATACGGACGGAGGGTTTGATTTTACGAGGAGACGCGGATTCGAGGATTTCAGGATTCAACTAGTCGAGGAATCGAGTATCCAAGTGGATTTCTCCTGTTCTTCTTGGTTTTTTATTTTCTTTTCTTTTTAATTATTATTTTTCACCACCGCAAAGATTCTCCTCGGAGATCGGTTCTTCTATACGGCGAGATCCTAGAGAATGTCGCGATCCGACCCCTCAGGCGGACGCCCGCACGGCCAACGTCGCAAGGAACGGCAGCGCAAACTCGAAGCTTCTACGAAGTGCGAACAACCTGAACAAGCAGCGAGAAACACGGTAGCCACCTCGATCTTCGTTGCATGTCAGATTCTGAACGGCAGGCAGTTCGTGCTGTGCTGGAAAGAAACGCGATAAAAGCATGTGCCGAATGTACGGCATCAGCATTATAAGAACCCCGGCATTACATGAGTGTTACACCTGATCAGAATTACATGAAAAATAAACATCTTGGGTGGTCGGCAATGGCTCACTCATCTTCATCCTCATCCTCCTCGTCCCCATAGAATGCAAACATACCCGTGTTCTCCTTTCCACCACCGTCCTCCTGCGTCCCATCTTCCTGCAATCCCACCAACCCACCCAGCCCCCCCAATGCCCCCAACGCTCCCTGAAGCGCAGCACCAGCTATTATTTGCCCCAGAGAAACTGTAGGCTCTGCGAGTGACGGTTGAGATGGGTGTGGTGCGGTGGTGAAGTCTGCAGCAGCAGCAAGTGGCGACAGGTGCCCCAGAAGCGTATGAAGGTAATTGCCATGTGTGTGCATGTGTGTGTGCGTGTGCGTGTGCCTGTGCGTGTGTGTGTCCGTGTCCGTGTGCGAGTGCAAGTGCAAGTGCCCTTCACCTCTTTCCTCTGTTTGGGTGGTCTCATCTGCTTGCCTTCCACTGTACCCCCCATCATCCTCCTCTTCCCCCATCACCATCTCATTCTCCTCTTCCTCCTCGTCCTCCTCTTCCCCTCTTTCCTCTCCTTCCCCTCCTTGCCCACCTCCTCTCCCTCCTCCCTCTCCATCCCCTCCTTCCTCCTCACCCATTGCCCACACATCGTCCCCCATTGTGGCACCCTCTCCTTCACCATCATCTATAAACAAACCCCCTCTTTCCTCTCCCTCTCTACTTTTTTCTCTATCCTCCTCCCTATCCTCCTCTCTCCCGTCCTCCCTGCCCTCCTCTCCCTCCTCCCCCCTATCCTCCTCCCCCACATCCCCCCCATACATCGCCAAAAGAGGCCCCCCTTCTGTATCCTCCTCCTGCATCTCCTCCTCTCGCTCCACCCACTCATGCACATCCCCACCCCGCCCCACCCCTTCCACACCCTCCCTCCCTCCTTCCCCATCCCCTCCATTCTCCCTCTCCACTCCCCCTTCTGCATCCCCCTCTCCATAGCCTTTGCTTCCGAAGCTATCACCCCCAGCCCCCCATCCCACATCACCATGCCTACCCCCATCTCCTGCACCCTCCTCCCCACCAACATCCCCATCTCCTGACTCCCATCGCCCTACCAATCCCTCTCCCGTTTCCTTCTCGCCTCCCTGTTCCCCTCTCGCACGCCCTTCCTCTCCCCCCCCACTCTCATTCCCCACTCCCTTCCCCTCCCCTCCTCTCCCCCCTTCCCCACCTCCCTTTCCGCCTCCCTCCCTTCCTCCCTTCCCCCCTCCCTCCCGTCCAACCACCCCCCCACTCTCCGGCTTCCGCCACACGCTCCCTTTCCTCTCCCCGGTCAGGTACGCGTCTTCTTCGGGCAGGCTGAGCTCTCCGGGGGGCAGCTTGACGGGTTTGCGCACGGAGTAGCCGCGCGTGTTGCGCACGCGGGGGTAGAAGAGGGAGAGCTCGTGGCGGTTGGGCAGCAGGCGGTAGAACGCCAGGCGGACAGCGTCTCGCATGCGCGCAAGCGTCTGCTTGTGGAAGAACCCCGACGTGGGCTGTTGGTGGGGGGAAAGATGAAGGGGAGAGAGGGGTGGAAGAGGGAAGGAGAGGTGCGGAGAGGGGAGGAGAAGAGTGGAGCGAGGCGGAGACGGAGCAAGGAAGGCAGGGTGAGAAGTGCACACGCGGGGGTAGAAGAGGGAGAGCTCGTGGCGGTTGGGCAGTAAGCGGTAGAACGCCAGGCGGACAGCATCCCTCATGCGCGCAAGGGTCTGCTTGTGGAAGAACCCCGACGTGGGCTGTTGGGGGAGGGGGGGAAAGAGGAGGGGGAGCGGGGGGAGGGGCAGAGAGGGGTGGAAGAGGGAAGGAGAGGTGCGGAGAGGGGAGGAGAAGGGTGGAGCGAGGCGGAGACGGAGCAAGGGAGGCAGGGTGAGAAGTGCATGCGCGGGTAGAAGAGCGAGAGCTCGTGGCGGTTGGGCAGCAGGCGGTAGAACGCCAGGCGGAACCCGTCCCTCATGCGCGCAAGCGTCTGCTTGTTGAAGAACCCCGATGTGGGCTGCACAAGCGGCACGGAGAGGTCGCGGAGAGTGAGGAAGAGAAACCAGTCAGCCCTAACGACTTGGAAGCAGTCCCGCTCACTCACACGCAGCCCCGCTCACACTCACATCACACGTTTGCCTCTCAGGCGGCGCTGCGAGAGTCTCTTGCACGAGCGGCAGCGAGAGGTCGCAGAGTGTGAGGAAGAGCGTGCGGCGGTTGGGCAGGGAGCGCAGCGCACAGATGTCGGGCCATGTGGTGGTGCGCGCCATGGCTGGCGTGATGCGCAGCCCCCACGAGGCTGGTACACGGAAATCTAACATCTGGTATCTGATGGTTGGGTGGAGGGGAACGAGAGGTGGGTGAGAGGAGGGAGGAGAGATAAATGGGTGGGGGATGGCTGGGGTGATGCGCAGCCCCCATGACGCCGGTACACGGAAGTCCAACATCTGGTACCTGTGTGGAATGGGGGGGGTGGCGATGGGAGGTGATGGGGGGGGTTCACTGGCGGTGATGGGGGTGATGGGGGGTGATGGCGGTGATGGGGGTGATGGGGGTGATGGGGGTGATGGGGTGTATTGCCCAGCCCCCACGAGGCCGGTACCTGTGGGTGGGGGGAGTGATGGGGGAGACGGGTGGGGGATGAATGGGGAATGGATGGGAGGGGAGGATGGGTGGATTGAACGACGGGTGGTTAGGTATGAATCAGACAGGGAGGAAGAGAACGGGTTGCAGGAAGGAGCAAGAACAGCAAAATATCTCATATATACACATACATATACATATACATATACATATACATATACATATACATATACATATACATATACATATACATATACATATACATATATATATACATATACATATGAGCAGGTAGGAATTAGTGGCTGCCCGAGGCAATTGAGTGACTGCATTGATTGAGAAGAACGCAGAGTTAGAACGCTAAGGGCCCCCGTGGCCCCCGTGGCCCCCGGTCCAGTGCATTCTCAAAGGTGAATCAAGTGGGGAAGTGAGGGGAGAGCAGAAGGGGGGCGGAGAGGGGATGGGGCGCACTTCCGGTTGTCGGGGTTGGTGCGCGGGTCATAGCCGTTGCGAATCCACTGCATGCGGAAGGGACCGTTGCAGAAGTAATAGGCAAAGCGCAGCAGCGCCCTGAGGGGGGAGAGGGGAGAGAGGAGAGAGGGGAGGGGGGAGAGGGGAGAGGGGGGAGAGGGGAGGGGAGAGGGGGGAGGGGGGAAGGGGGAGAGGGGAGAGGGGAGAGGGGAGAGGGGAGAGGGGAGATGGGAGAGGGGAGAGGGGAGAGGGGAGAGAGGGGAGAGGGGAGAGGGGGGAGAGGGGGGAGAGGGGAGAGGGGAGAGGGGGGAGAGGGGAGAGAGGAGAGAGGGGAGAGGGGAGAGGGGGGAGAGGGGGAGAGGGGGGAGAGGGGAGAGGGGAGAGGGGGGAGAGAAGGGAGACGGGGGAGAAGAAGGGACGGCGGGAGGGACAGTGGGGAGTTTCTATTGGACGTTCTTGTTCCAGTAAAGTGAAATGGGGAGAAAATGAAAGCAAAAAGGAAGTGCTTGGAGAACGGGAAGCCTACAGAGCCCAGCAGAGCAGAACCTTGGGAAGGGGGGAGAAGGAACAGAACGAGAACCGGAAGGTTGGATTGGACACACAAGCAAACCTTTCTTCATCCTCCCTCATCCCCCCTCATCCCCCTTCCCCACCCCCCCTTGCCATCGCCCCTCCCCATTCCCCACTTCTCAAACCCCATCTCCACCTCTCTCCACCTTTCTCCACCTCACCCCACCACTCCCCACCTCCCCACACCTCTTCATACTGCCATTATTAATCGGCTGCAGCACCCAGTACCTCGTCTGCAGAAGGTGCTTGAGAGAGTTGCGCGACCACACAGGCCAGCGCTCTCTCATTCACTTCCCCCCCCCCCCCCCCCCCACCGCTCTCCACCTCTCTGCGCACCTCTTCATGCTGCCATCGTTAATCGGCAGCAGCAGGCGGTGCCTGGTCTGCAGGAGGTGCTTGAGAGAGTTGCGCGACCACACAGGCCAACGCTCTCTAATTCACTTTCCCCCCCACCGCTCTCCACCCCTGCGCACCTCTTCATGCTGCCATCATTGATGGGCAGCAGCAGCCGGTGGCGGGTCTGCAGGAGGTGCTTGAGCGAGTTGCGCGACCACACAGGCCGCTCCTGGAACAGCGGCCGAAGCATGCGCACGTACGCGCCCTCCTCACTGCTCTCCCGCACCGCCTCGCGCTCCCTCGGCCACCCGCGTAGCTCCTGGTGTTGAAGGCACAGGGGTTGGGCGAGAGGAAAGGGAGGACCAGGTGGTGTCGCTGCAGCAGTGGCAGCAGTTGCAGCAGTTGCAATGGGTGGGAATCGGCATGACAAGTGGGGGGGAGGGGGGAGAAGATGCGAGGGAGAGGAGCGCAAGGAGGGGGCAAGGAGGAGGCCGGGACGAGGGGAGAAGAGAGGAGAGAACGGCAAGCGAGCAGAGGAGATACCTGGGCGAGTGGGTGGGTGGGTGGGTGGGTGGGTGGGCGGGTGGGTGGGCGGGTGGGTGGGCGGGTGGGTGGGAGGGTAGTACCTGAGTGGTGGCACAGTCAAGCCCAGAGAAGAGAATGAGATTCGCCTGTTGGCCCTCCTTCGCACCAGCAGCACCAGCGCCAGCAGTACCACCAGCAGCCCCTGCCCCTTCCCTTCCCCCTCTCCCTCCCCCTCTCTTCCCCCCTCCGCCTGGCTTCCCGCCAGCCGCAGGGGCAGCAGCAGCAAGGGTAGGGGCAGCAGCAGCTGCAGAGGCAGCGGCGGGGGCCGTAGCAGTGACAGCAGCAGCGGCAGAATCAGGGGCTATGGCAGGGGCAGGAGCAGTGGCAGCAGCAGCGGCGGCAGCTGGGGCAGGAGCAGGCGGGTAGAGTCCCGGCTTGGCCGCATCCCGGTTAATGTCAAACGCCCGGAGACTGGGTGATCGATGAGCAAGAGGTGAGAGAGGTGAGTGATGATGAGCAAGAGGTGAGAGAGGTGAGTGATGATGAGCAAGAGGTGAGAGAGGTGAGTGATGATGAGCAAGAGGTGAGAGAGGTGAGTGATGATGAGCAAGAGGTGAGAGAGGTGAGTGATGATGAGCAAGAGGTGAGAGAGGTGAGTGATGATGAGCAAGAGGAGAGAGAGGTGAGTGATGATGAGCAAGAGGAGAGAGAGGTGAGTGATGATGAGCAAGAGGTGAGAGAGGTGAGTGATGATGAGCAAGAGGAGAGAGAGGTGAGTGATGATGAGCAAGAGGTGAGAGAGGTGAGTGATGATGAGCAAGAGGTGAGAGAGGTGAGTGATGATGAGCAAGAGGAGAGAGAGGTGAGTGATGATGAGCAAGAGGTGAGAGAGGTGAGTGATGATGAGCAAGAGGTGAGAGAGGTGAGTGATGATGAGCAAGAGGAGAGAGAGGTGAGTGATGATGAGCAAGAGGTGAGAGAGGTGAGTGATGATGAGCAAGAGGTGAGAGAGGTGAGTGATGATGAGCAAGAGGAGAGAGAGGTGAGTGATGATGAGCAAGAGGAGAGAGAGGTGAGTGATGATGAGCAAGAGGTGAGAGAGGTGAGTGATGATGAGCAAGAGGAGAGAGAGGTGAGTGATGATGAGCAAGAGGAGAGAGAGGTGAGTGATGATGAGCAAGAGGAGAGAGAGGTGAGTGATGATGAGCAAGAGGTGAGAGAGGTGAGTGATGATGAGCAAGAGGAGAGAGAGGTGAGTGATGATGAGCAAGAGGTGAGAGACGTGAGTGATGATGAGCAAGAGGTGAGAGAGGTGAGTGATGATGAGCAAGAGGAGAGAGAGGTGAGTGATGATGAGCAAGAGGAGAGAGAGGTGAGTGATGATGAGCAAGAGGTGAGAGAGGTGAGTGATGATGAGCAAGAGGAGAGAGAGGTGAGTGATGATGAGCAAGAGGTGAGAGAGGTGAGTGATGATGAGCAAGAGGTGAGAGAGGTGAGTGATGATGAGCAAGAGGAGAGAGAGGTGAGTGATGATGAGCAAGAGGAGAGAGAGGTGAGTGATGATGAGCAAGAGGTGAGAGAGGTGAGTGATGATGAGCAAGAGGTGAGAGAGGTGAGTGATGATGAGCAAGAGGAGAGAGAGGTGAGCGATGATGAGCAAGAGGTGAGAGAGGTGAGTGATGATGAGCAAGAGGTGAGAGAGGTGAGTGATGATGAGCAAGAGGAGAGAGAGGTGAGTGATGATGAGCAAGAGGAGAGAGAGGTGAGTGATGATGAGCAAGAGGTGAGAGAGGTGAGTGCTGATGAGCAAGAGGTGAGAGAGGTGAGTGATGATGAGCAAGAGGTGAGAGAGGTGAGTGATGATGAGCAAGAGGAGAGAGAGGTGAGTGATGATGAGCAAGAGGAGAGAGAGGTGAGTGATGATGAGCAAGAGGTGAGAGAGGTGAGTGATGATGAGCAAGAGGTGAGAGAGGTGAGTGATGATGAGCAAGAGGAGAGAGAGGTGAGTGATGATGAGCAAGAGGTGAGAGAGGTGAGTGATGATGAGCAAGAGGTGAGAGAGGTGAGTGATGATGAGCAAGAGGTTAGAGAGGTGAGTGATGATGAGCAAGAGGTGAGAGAGGTGAGTGATGATGAGCAAGAGGTGAGAGAGGTGAGTGATGATGAGCAAGAGGTGAGAGAGGTGAGTGATGATGAGCAAGAGGAGAGAGAGGTGAGTGATGATGAGCAAGAGGAGAGAGAGGTGAGTGATGATGAGCAAGAGGTGAGAGAGGTGAGTGATGATGAGCAAGAGGTGAGAGAGGTGAGTGATGATGAGCAAGAGGTGAGAGAGGTGAGTGATGATGAGCAAGAGGTGAGAGAGGTGAGTGATGATGAGCAAGAGGTGAGAGCGGTGAGTGATGATGAGCAAGAGGTGAGAGCGGTGAGTGATGATGAGCAAGAGGTGAGAGCGGTGAGTGATGATGAGCAAGAGGTGAGAGAGGTGAGTGATGATGAGCAAGAGGTGAGAGAGGTGAGTGATGATGAGCAAGAGGTGAGAGAGGTGAGTGATGATGAGCAAGAGGTGAGAGAGGTGAGTGATGATGAGCAAGAGGTGAGAGCGGTGAGTGATGATGAGCAAGAGGTGAGAGAGGTGAGTGATGATGAGCAAGAGGTGAGAGCGGTGAGTGATGATGAGCAAGAGGTGAGAGCGGTGAGTGATGATGAGCAGGAGGTGAGAGAGGTGAGTGGTGATGAGCAAGAGGTGAGAGAGGTGAGTGATGATGAGCAAGAGGTGAGAGAGGTGAGTGATGATGAGCAAGAGGTGAGAGCGGTGAGTGATGATGAGCAAGAGGTGAGAGCGGTGAGTGATGATGAGCAAGAGGTGAGAGAGGTGAGTGATGATGAGCAAGAGGTGAGAGAGGTGAGTGGTGATGAGCAAGAGGTGAGAGAGGTGAGTGATGATGAGCAAGAGGTGAGAGAGGTGAGTGATGATGAGCAAGAGGTGAGAGAGGTGAGTGATGATGAGCAAGAGGTGAGAGCGGTGAGTGATGATGAGCGAGAGGTGAGAGCGGTGAGTGATGATGAGCAAGAGGTGAGAGAGGTGAGTGATGATGAGCAAGAGGTGAGAGAGGTGAGTGATGATGAGCAAGACGTGAGAGCGGTGAGTGATGATGAGCAAGAGGTGAGAGCGGTGAGTGATGATGAGCAAGAGGTGAGAGAGGTGAGTGATGATGAGCAAGAGGTGAGAGAGGTGAGTGATGATGAGCAAGAGGTGAGAGAGGTGAGCGATGATGAGCAAGAGGTGAGAGAGGTGAGCGATGATGAGCAAGAGGTGAGAGAGGTGAGCGATGATGAGCAAGAGGTGAGAGAGGTGAGCGATGATGAGCAAGAGGTGAGAGAGGTGAGCGATGATGAGCAAGAGGTGAGAGAGGTGAGCGATGATGAGCAAGAGGTGAGAGAGGTGAGCGATGATGAGCAAGAGGTGAGAGAGGTGAGCGATGATGAGCAAGAGGTGAGACGCCGTGATGGTGTGACGTCCATAGACGGAAGGGGGGAACGGGACGGCGTGATGGGGGAGGGTCGGTCGGGGGGTGAGGGAGGGGCAGGGGTACTTGGTACAAGGGCGGGCAGGCAGGCAGGCAGGCCGGCAGGAAGGGTGGCAGACAGGCAGGCTGGGTGGCAAGCTAAAGGAGAAGAGGTGGGAAATGAACTAGTGGTGGCGTTGAAATGAAGGGGGCAATACGAAGGCAAGAAATAACAGGACAGGAAAGGTGAGGAGAGGAGAGGTGAGGAGCGGAGAGGAGACGAGAGGAGAGGCGAGGAGCAGTACAGTTTGTCGGATGGGTTGTCCTTGCGCGTGAAGAGCAGTTGAGGGGGGAGGGATACGGGTGCAAGACGGGTTGAATCAGCAAAAGAAAAGGACGCGAGGATCTGAGAAAAGAGGTGAGGAAGGGGGGCAAGAGGCAGTACAGTTTGTCGGGTGGGTTGTCCTTGCGTGTGAAGAGCAGAGGTGCCAATGGGGAGAAGGGCGAGGTTGCTGTAGAGTGGATGCAGAGAGGGAGGGGTGCAGAGAGGGAGGGGTGCAGCGGTGCAGCGGTGCAGAGGTGCAGAGATGCAGAGAGACAATGGGAGGGAACCCAGGGATGGAGCATAGGGCAGAGTGGGAAGGGAAGAGAAGAGGTTTTGAATTGGTGGGAAGGGAAGCCCTGTTCTGATTGCAGTGGTGGCATGTGAGGAGCAACACAACAGGCATGCCACCGGCAAAGGGCCGGGAAGGGGCAGGGGGAAGGGCGAAGGGCGAAGGGCAGGGAAGGGAAAGAGATTTTTTGTACAAGGGTGGTGCTGTGCTGGTATGGGAGTGGTGAAGAACATGGCATGCTAGACAAGAACAAGACGCATGAGGCGACGCACCTGTGGGAGCGGGTGAGGAGCGGAGGCGACTTTTGAGTCGACTCCAAAGTCATACCAGACCAGACCAGACCAGACGCATGGGGGAACGAACGCACCGGTGGTGGGAGCAGGTGAGGAGTCTACTTTTGAAGTGCCTCAAAAGGCGACTTTTGAGTCGACTCGAATGCCATACCAGACCAGACCAGATGCATGGGGGGACGCACCGGTGGGAGCAGGTGAGGAGTAGAAGTGGGAGTGAGAGTGGGAGGAGGAGGAGGAGGCATGGTGCCGTGCTGCTGTGTGTGGGGCGTGCAGCGATGGCACCCACTGGAAGTCCGCCAGGGCTGGGAGATGGGGGAACGGCGGGGGAGAGGGGAAGGAGGGGGCATCGTTGAACAAAGGGGAAGGGGAGGAGGAGGCTTGGTGCTGCTGTGTGTGGGTGTGGGGCGTGCAGCGATGGCATCCACTGGAAGTCCGCCAGGGCTGGGGGGACGGGGGAAGGGGGGAGAGAGGGTGGTGAATGGGGGGAACGGGAGGGGAAGTGGGGGAAGGAGGGTGGGAATGCGCAGGGCGTGCAGCGATGGCATCCACTGGAAGTCCGCCAGGGCTGGGGGGACGGGGGAATGGGGGGGTGGGAAAGGGGGGAAGGGGGAAATGGGGGGAAAGGGTTGGTTGGAGTGTTGAAAGTGGAAAACGAGGAGCAGGGGAGCATGGGGGTGGGGGGAGTGGGTACGGAGAAAGGAAATATGGACAGGAAAGGGTAAAGCAAGAAATGGGGGGTAAGCGACGGAGGAAATCAGGAGAAGGTGAAATAAGGAAGCGGGGGAGGGAGGACAAGGGAGGAGGGGAAGAGGTGGGTGGAGGGGGGGAGTGAGGACGGGAGGCAGAGGAGAAAAGAGAGAGGAGGGCGGGAGAGACACCCTTATCAATGAACGATTCAATTAATAAATCCGAGTGACGAGGTTGAGAGGAGGTTGAGAGGAGGTTGAGAGGAGGTTGAGAGGAGGTTGAGAGGAGGTTGAGAGGAGGTTGAAAGGAGGTTGAGAGGAGGTTGAGAGGAGGTTGAGAGGAGGTTGAGAGGAGGTTGAGAGGAGGTTGAGAGGAGGTTGAAAGGAGGTTGAGAGGAGGTTGAGAGGAGGTTGAGAGGAGGTTGAGAGGAGGTTGAGAGGAGGTTGAAAGGAGGTTGAGAGGAGGTTGAGAGGAGGTTGAAAGGAGGTTGAGAGGAGGTTGAGAGGAGGTTGAGAGGAGGTTGAGAGGAGGTTGAGAGGAGGTTGAGAGGAGGTTGAAAGGAGGTTGAGAGGAGGTTGAAAGGAGGTTGAGAGGAGGTTGAAAGGAGGTGCATACATTCGAACCGGTACGTCTCTTCGATCCGTGCCACCACCGATATGTCAATCTCCTCTGCCTCCTCCCCTTCCTCCCCTTCCTCCCCTTCCTTTGCTTCCTCTCCCTCTTCCTTGCCCGCCTCCTCTCCCTCTTCTCCCTTCTCCTCTTTCACTTCCTTCCCTTCCTTCTCCTCTTCGTCCACTCCCTCCTTCTTGCCCTCACTGCCCATACCCTCCTCCTTCCCTCTACCAAACTCATCTTCCTTCCCCTCCCCGCTCCTCCTGCTCCCCTGATCCTTCCCCCCATCTCCCACCTCCTCCTCTCTCCCCCGCTTCTTCCCCCTCTTCTCCCCCTCCTCCCCCCCCTTCTCCCCCTTCCTCCTCCGCGCCCTGCGCCGCGCAATCCGCAGCAGCACCCCGCAAGTGTCGCTGGCATCCCCATAAGCCCCGTGCGCGCTCCCCCCTCCCCCCCCAAACCGCACCTCCAGGAACCTCCGGCCCCGCGACCGCTCCTGGGGAAGAGAGGGAGCGGGGGAGGGGAAAGCGGTGGAACGGGGGGGGCGGGGGAGCGGGGGAACGGGGGAGCGGGGGTTGGGGGTGAGGGGTTAAGAGACGGGACAGAGTGGTGGGAAGGGAAGGTCTAGCAGATTCGGGTTTAGGGGAGGAAGGAGTGAACAGGGAGTGGATTTTTGAGTTGACTCAAAAATCCACTCATCACACGGGGAGGAAGGACTGAGCAGGGAGTGGGGGGGATAGGGGCGGGAGTCGTGGAGTTAGCAGGTTTGTCGCTCACTCACTCATTCACTCACTCACTCACTCACTCACTCACTCACTCATTCACTCACTCACTCACCTTTGCGATGGTCTCTTCGCCGCCCATCGTCCGCAAAGCGCGCCGATCGTCGCGCACGAATCCCGGGTACTCCACCATGAACACGCGCCGCCCTGCCGGCACCTGACAAACCACCTGCGACACGGCATGCTCTGTTCCGCTCATCCTCCTCCCCGCCTGTCGGCCTGCGACGGCGCGTATGCTACTGTCGGATCGTCTTCAAACGTGAACGCGAAGAGGAGAAGCTTAGGGAGATGACGGAGGAGCTTATAGCGCGGATACAGATGAGCCGCACAAGGCCGAAGCCGCAGATGTTAAGCGGTATACCAACAATACATCTACAGCTACCGTGATATGTAGGCTTGAAAGTCGCACAACCGCGAGCGCTGCGATTCACGTAGCTTGAGCAGCGAAAGAATTGCCTTGCGAAGGTGTGCGACTGGATGGCGACGGTGTGGTAAACTTGGCGATCGAATTCCGATAGAAGCTGTCTTTCGTGTATTTGTATCTGACAATCAAACGACGGGTATACTTCCAAATCATAAGCAATTGTATAATGCACCTTCCAATTGTTTCTTGCACAAGAATACAAACACTGCGCTCTGTGAAAGCTTCACAGTGTATTTATGCTCTGATTTTATGATGACGTGTCAACAAATAAAATAACGGTTGACAAGGAGATGAAGGAGGCATTATAAAAGTACGGTACAAGCAGAGCGCTCGCGGATGCAAAAGGGGCTTGGTAATAGCCAGGGTCTCAAACAGAGACTGGAGGAAGAAAGCCGAGGGGGGGGAGGATGAAGGAGAGAAGGGAAGCACGGTGGGGTCAAGGGGAGGAGGGCAGAAGCAAAAGCAGAGGGAGTTGTTAAAGGGAGTTGATTCAAGGAGCTGTCGTCATTCCCTCCCTCCCCTCCCCAAAACTCCCCTCAATTCTCCAAAATGATCCTGCCCTCCCCCACACCACCCTCCTCTTCCCCCCAACCCCACCCCTCCCTCCCATTTCTACGGATTTTTGCAGTGGAACGTGAATGGCTTAAACCCAAAGAAGTTGATCAATGGTATTTGAAGCGCTTCGCATCCCTCTCTCTCAACTGGTACGGGTTCTTGCAGTGGGACGTGAACGGGTCTAGATCCGGGAAGATGATAGACGGGCCAGCAGCCCGCGACCTAGTTTTGAGACGTCTCAAAACACCCCTCGCATCCCTCTCTACTGGTACGGGTTCTTGCAGTGGGACGTGAACGGGTCTAGATCCGGGAAGATGATCGAGGGAGCAGCAGCCCGTGACCGCCTCTGCTGAGCTCTCTGCTGCAGCTCCATCTGAGCCGCAACCAGCGCCTCTCTCTGTGCCCACATGCCGCTCTTATCCGGACTCACACCCCCGCCATGCTCATGCCCTAGCACACGCGCCACCGGCCGGCTCAAATGCGCAGACTGCGACCCCAGCCCCTGGGGAGAGTGCTGCGGCATGTGCCTGCCGCCCAGCGGAGAAACCTCCCGGCCGTTGCCGGTGCAGTATGGGTCCTCCGGTGAGGGGAAGTGCTGGGGGATAGAGCTGGTGGCTGCAGAGACGGATGCAAGGGTGCTACGGCGAGACACAGCGCTCATGGATTTGCTTCCTATGCCCATGGAGAGTAGGTTTCCGCTGCCTCCCCCTGACTGAAGCCGTTTCTCTTCCTGTGCTAGGTCCGGGAATAGGCTGCTTCGCCGGTGGTGGTGATGCTGCTGCTGCTGTTGCTGCTGTTGCTGTTGTTCGAACAGCTGCTGCTGCTCCTGCTGCAGTTGCTGCTGCAGTAGCAGCTGCTGCAGCTGCTGCTGCTGCTGCATCAGTAGCTGTTGTTGCTGCTGCTGCAGCTGCTGCTGCTGCTGGAACTGTTGCTGCTGCTGTTGCTGCTGCTGCTGCAACTGAGCGTTACGGGCCTCTTGACCCCATGGGCCTAGATTATAACCATCCCCTCCCAGACTATCCCTCCCATAAATACCATCATCTACCACCCCCTTCCTGCGTGACCGGGACAAATCGCCTCCAATAGAGTTCCCCACAAGGTCCCCATACAACCCCCTGTCAATCCCCTCATGCCCCGATCGCCCACAGCTGCTAGTGCTCTTCCTCCTGCTGCTGCTGCTGCTGCTGCTCTTCCCAGAATTCGCAGCCACTGCCGCAGCCGCCGCAGCAGCCGCCGCCGCCGCTGCTGCAGCCAAAGCAGGGTCTACCGTTGCCTCGGAGCTGCTCCGCCTTCCAGATCTGCTCCTGCTGCCGCTGCCGCTCCGCCCGCTGCTGCTCTCCTTCTCCTCGCTGACCAGCCGCGCCGGCGACAAAAACTGCTCCGCATGCAGCCCGGAGGACCGAGACGAGGACGGTTCGTGCGCCACCGCCGCTGCTGCTGCCGCTGCCATGGCTGCCGCGGCGAGAGCGTTCGGGTCTGTTGCAATAGTCCCTGTCTGCATGCTGCTGCGTCGGGACAGAGAGGAACGGCGTCTGCTGCTGCTGCCGCTGCTATTGCTGCTGTGACTGCGCGTCACGGCGGATAGCGCGTCGTCGTCGCCAGTCACGGATAACCGGTGCCGGTGCTGCTGCGGCTGCTGGTGCTGCTCTTTCTGGTGGTGATGCCGGGAGCCGTGAGGGGAGGGCGAGCGAGAGGAGGAGGATAGGTGGTCGTGGTGGTGGTGGTGGTGGTGGTGCCGGTGGTGGTGGCGGCGTGAGGGGGAGGCGGAGGGTGAGTCCGCTGCTGTTCCAGAGGAAGACACTGATGCTGCTGCGGGAAGATTGAACGAGCGCCGTTGGGGTTGTGAGCGGGAGCGGGACATGGGCCCTGGTTCCGACTCGCTATCCCCGCTCTCTGTCTCAACCTTATCTGCTGCCACCGCCAGCCCGTCTCTTGATTTCGATCGCAGCATACGACTCGGCTTGCTGCTGCTGCTGTTGCTGCTATGCTCTTTCTCCAACGCCACTGCTGCTGCTGCTCTCTCCCTCTCCTCGCATCTCATCAGCTCTCGCACGTCCACCACTCCCGGAGGGAGAGCTGGAGACGACACCCTGCTGCCACCTGTCACGTCCCCATTGGCTCGGGAAGATGACACCAGGGAGTTCTTACTGGACGATCGTTTCACAGGAGCCGCCAAAGCAGCTGACGCTTCAGGGGAATAAGCAGCAGCAGCGGGCCCGGCTGACGTGGCAGTGGATAGCAACTCGGCGGGATCTGTAGCGCGCCCGCTCCCAGTCCTGCCCGTGCTGCTCATGCTGCTGCTTCTCCCACTCGCCACGCTCCCTCCTCCTCCTCCCCCTCCACCTCCTCCTCCGCCAGCTGCCTGCCCTGAGCTCGCTCTGCTGCCAGTGCTGCTGCTACTCGCAGACTGCTCCGCAGCAGCAGCCTTGCTTCTCGCCATCGCCTCGTCTTTCTCTGCTGCTGCTGCCGCCGCCGCTTCTGCCTTAGCCACTGCAGCGGCTCTAGCAGCAGCGGCAGCCTTGGCAGCAGCAATAGCGTTGGCAACAGACGAGCCAGAAGAAGCAGAGGAGGAGGAGGAGAGAGCAGCAACAGGTTGCCTTGACGGCTCTCGTTCTGCCTCTTCCTCTTCCTCGTCTTCTTCAAACTCCTCCTCCTCCTCCTCCTCCTCCTCTCTCTCATCTCTCCGTCCCGATCGGTTCCCCTCCTCCCTCTCGTCACTCAAACTGCCTTCAGACCCTTCCTCTCCCATATCCCTTCCCCTCCCCTCTCCCCTATACCCTCCCCTCTCCTCCTCCCTCTCATCCTCCCCCTCCTCGTCCCCTTCCTCCTCTTCGTCCTCCTCTCCGCGCCCTGCCAGCCGTCCGTTCGCCATTGCTGCTGCGCCAACCTTACCCCTCCCTGCCATCTCAGGTTTCTGTTCCGCTCCCGCCCCAGCCTTCCCCTCATCCTCTCCCCCCTCCTCCTCCTCCTCTCCCTCCTCCCCCTGACTTTCTTCTCCACTCTCCTCCTTCTTTCCATCCGCCACTCCTTTCCCACCCGCCGTTCTGCCATTCTGCGGTCCCGCCTTCCCCACACCTCCTCTTACACCCTTCCCCTCCTCCTCATCCTCCTCCTCCCCCTCCTCCTCCTCCTCTTCCCTCCCTTTTCTCCCACCTCTCCCCTTCTCCTCTTCCTCCTCCCCTTCTTCCTCCTCTTCCTCCTCCTCCTCTTCCTCTTCACTACTTGATTCCACAACCGGTTTCGGAGGGGGTCTGACCGGAGCGGCAGGGGCAGCAATATTACTAAGGTCCACAAACTGCCCCATAGTATCCTTCAGCTTCTGGAAATTCACAGGTTTTGACATGAAAGCATCCATCCCCGCCGCTTTGCACCGGTCTTGATCCGCCTGCAGCGCATTCGCGCTCACAGCCACCACCGGCGTGCGCGGGCGGAAATCCCCGCCGTCCCCATCCCCTTCCCTCGCCTCCCCGCCTGTCCACTCCGCCAGCCCCGCCTTCTCGTCCCCCGCAGGCGCCCCCGACGCTTTCGCCTTGGCGATTTCTTCCGCGGGGAATTTCCCCGTGCGCTCGTACTGGCGAATCAGCTGCGTGGCCGTGAGACCGTCCATGAGCGGCATGCATATATCGGAGAGGATAATATCGAATTTCACCTTCTGCACCGCCTCCACGGCCTCGACGCCGTTCTTGGCGACCGTGGCTTTAAGCCCCATGCGCTTGAGCATGGACATGAGCACCATCACGTTGACCTGGAGGAGGGAGGGGAGGGAGGAGTTAGAGGAATGAGTACGGAATGAGTACGGGAGGAGGACAGGAGCTTAAAGACGGGATGTGGCTTTAAGTCCCATGCGGCTGAGCATGGACATGAGCACCATCACGTTGACCTGGAAGGGGAAGGAGAGAGGGTGGAGGGTGGAGGGGGGAGGGTGGAGGAGAGGGGAGGGGAAGATAGAGGCAAGTGAGGGGGAGGGGTACGGAAGGCCTCCTGGGGATGAGTCCCATGCGCTTGAGCATAGAGATGAGCGCCATCACGTTCACCTGGAGCGCGAGGGAGAGAGGGGAAGGGGAGAGAGGGGGGAGGGTAGGTGCCGGTGAGGGGTAGGGGTACGGGAGGGGTACGGGTGGAATGCAGTCGAGGGTGAGTACTCGGAAAGGGATGCAAGAGGGGTATGATAGGTGAGAGTCTCAAGAGCGTCTCAGGCACCTGGTGCATCGATACCAGCAGCCACACGCCCCCATGAAACGAGGAAAAACGGCGGGGTGCGGGAGAGTTTATCGGAGGGGTATGGGGGAGGTTCACGCGCTTGAGCGTGCACAGTGGCAGCGGCAGCACCAAATTCCCGTGGAGCAACGGAGTAACGTTGGTTCGGAGATGCATGGCGCGGAACACGAGGAGTGAACACACACACGGGATCCGCAGGGATCCGCAGTTTATCACGAGGGGAACGGGGAGAGAGAAACCGCGGATTTGGGACGCGTCAAAAGGTGCACGTTACACAAGCGGAATGGAAGGGGAAGGGGAAACCACAGTTTACATAAGGGGAACGGGGGGAACAACGGGAGGGTAGATGCAGAGGAGGGGAGGATGCGCACGGAGACGGAGATGTGATACACGGAATGGAGTGAGTGCGGGGGCCGGGGAGGAGGAGCGGGAGGGGAAGCGGGTAACGCTCAACCGCGCGCGGTTGAACATGAGAATGAGGGGGTGTCACGATGTGATGAAACCAGAGGCCGACGGAACATACAGAAAACGAGAGCGAGAGAGCGAGAGAGCGAGAGAGCGAGAGGGAAAGAGCGCGAACTGAAAGAGATTCGTCCGAGTGGGTGAGGACGGACGCAGCGATTGGACCCGGGGGAGTGCGGCGTAGCGTATGTCTCTTAGGCGCCTGAAAAACAGGCGTTGCGTCTCGCGCGATTGACGTCGCATCGTCTTGGGTGAACGGAAGGCGGGGAATACGCGGGTGAAACGGAGAGGGGACGGGACGGGGAAGAAAGAGAAAGGCGAATAGAGAAGGAAGCGGAGGACAGGAACGTGAGGGAGAATGGAGGTTGTCGCGCTTACTGTGTTGTCTTCGGCAACTAGAATCTTGAGGTCTGTCGGAGCGGCCATAATGGCAGGTGATCGTAAATGACGGACGAGGTGGAAGTCACGACGTTACAGCGAAAGCCTCGAGAAAGGATCAGTTGCGGAGGCTATGACCGCGAGGAGCACGATGAATAAATTAGGGGAGGCTTGCGCTGCTTCGACTGTTTTTGGACTAAAATCTTAAATAACAATGACAATGACTAAGTTGTTATAAAGGGTGTGTTGTTGCTGGATGCATTCCGAATGGGAGACGCTTGGAGCCCGTACGCGCGCAAGCTTAGCGAATCTTAGACAAAGCAACTTAGAGATTCGTGCGGGGATTAAGGAAATGGCGAGCGAAACGACTTGGCACATGCGCTTCGAGATGAATTCTGTACGGTGGAGCGGGACGCGGCGTGGCCGTGGCTAAGATAAGACATAGCCGAACGACATTCGCAAGGAGGAACACATCGCAGTGCGAAACGCATAGCCTGTGGTGAGCAGGGAAGCGAACGAGCATCGCTTTCTGTTGTCCAAGCTTCTCGCAATTTTAGTTGAGATGAGAGTTGGAGGGTCAGATGGAACAGTAAGGGGGATGGTGAGAAAGATAAGATAGGTTGGAATGTGATGGTGGAATGAGACGGAATGGGACGAAAGACGCGGGAAGAGAGGATTCTTGTTTGTTGCTCAACCGCAGCTAGGAAATCGAGATTTTGTGTGACCTGCAGAGCAGGATACACACACGGAGTAGAGAGCCGAAACAGAACTCACACTCGCGCACGCAAACAAGAAAAGTCTCGTTTAGAGTGAATTCCAGATGTCTACGCCTTTAATGTTTACGTTTATACAGTGCATAACGGGAAATAAAAGCGACGAAGGGTCCCTTTCGTGATGCAGCATGACCTTACCTGAGCCACACAGCCTCTCGCTACAGTACCGTCGGTAATGATGTGTATTCGTCGATTGCCCTGATGAGATGCTGCTGAGTGCTGCTGAGCTGGGAGATTACTGTACACGTACAGCTTCCCCCCCACCCCATCCCACTTCCTGCATAGATGTGTGGCCAGAATGATCGGATGATGCTGCTGCTGCATGTTCACTCATGCGGTGCCCCTCGTCTCCTCCTCGCATGCCATCAATGCCTGCTGCCATGCCCGCCTTATCCATCCCTTGTTTCCCTCCCCCTCCTCCCCACCCCAAAATTTGCGAACAAAACCGCCGCCCGCCCTGCTTCCACTTTTCCTTCCCCCTCCCTCACAACAACCCATTTTCCCCGCTCTCCTCTCACCAACCGCTTGGACGGTTCCGCCCTGCACGCGTTTCCTGATCGTCGTCAAGTGGACGCGCAATTGTCAGGCGGAAAGAGCAAGGAAAATCGCAGGAGAACGTTTCTAGCCGAGATCGCGAGTCGCGACGGGGGGATGAGGGAATGTTTGTTCAAGTTCTGCCCGCTGCGGACAAACTGTGTGAAACCAGGAGGTAATCGAGGCGTTTGGCGGAAGCTAGAGGCGTTTGGTGCGTAGAAACCAATCATGGCATGCCACCTCATGATACAGCAAGTGGGCGGTTCTGATTGGCGGCACTTGTTGAGCTTTGTGAATCTCCAGAATGCAGTCGGGATGTAACAGCACATGATACCAAAACAAACTTTACACGTTTGATGAATGACGTTTCACAATCCATGTCTAAGTTATGACCCATGATTCTTTCATATGGTTGAAGTCAGGAGGGTGGTTGGGTTCTCTGACTTTATAATTCAAAACAATGCATGTCCAAGGGGCTACATAATTAACTTGCAAAGAGCACATGCAGATCCAACGAGACAACAGTCTCTCAGTGGTGGTGATTGAGCTACTGAGTAGCCCGCAATGTTACTTGTCGCAGGTTCACAGCCCCGAGATCCCCAACACAACACCATATATAAAACATTCGTCCGTGCTATTTGCACCTCTTCGCATGATTTCGCCCAGCCCCGCCTCTTGCTTAGTATTACAGCAGCCCTGGAAGCAGATTAGGCCACGATTGCAGGCCCATGCATCTCACATGTAATAAATCACCAAGTGACAGTAACCAGACCGGTCTGGCTGGCCCCCACTGGCTAGGTGTAGTGTAGGTACAGGTTGAGACGGACCAGCTCCCTTTAAGAGCCAGCAGGAGGAAAATGAACAAGATTCACACATACCGTACAAGGTGCCATGTGCCAATCAGCAGTCACCACTTGGAGGCTACCGGAGTTGCAAAGCAGCTTGCATTATGCAAGCCACCTCACCTCACCAGTCGAGGCCTAGTCCGTGCGAGAGGAACAGATGGTCCACTGCTTGAATGACGGGCGACAACGCCACCACAAAATGCTTGGCGTTTTGCTGCCACGCATCATCTGAGTGGGTGGGGTCAGGATCGATAGGGCGAAAGCGGGGGGAAGGATGGGAGAAGGGTGAGGGGGGGAAGGGGGAACAGGAGAGGGGAAGAGGTGGGAGGGATCAAATCAGAATGAGGTGCTACTAACGACATCAGAGAGAGATGAACACACCCGCAGCCACCCTCCACTCCCACTTGTCTCCAATATTACCAACCACAAGGATCACCCAAACCCCCAGTCCCTCCTCACCCTCATCCTAGATCCCCCAAGTCCGCTTTCTCCCTGAGTCCCCGTCAGGCCCCTCTCCCCCCAATTCCCAACCACCCTCCCGCCCCCCTCCCACCCCCTTCCCACCCCTTTTCTCACCGGACTCCCCCAGGAGGAGCAAGACGGAGGGCGTGGAGCGGAGCGTGAAGTGACCCGCTGCCACCCTCCACGCCCATTGGTCTCAACTCAACCATCATCGAGTATCACCACAAGCACTGCCCAAGGTCCAGCCCCATCCTCCCCTCATCCCTCACCCCCCCCAATCCTCTCTCGCCCTCATTCCTCCTCTGGTTGGAGAGCCCCTTCCCCAACATCCTCCCCCCCCTGCAGCAGCCCCCCTCTTCTCACCGGACTCCCCCAGGAGAAGCAGGAAGGCGGGCGTGGAGGGGAGCGTGAAGAGGCCCGCTGCTACGAGGCTGCGCACGGGCCATGGATGCACGGCGCCAAACACCTCGTTATACGCTCGCCCCGCGTACACTCTTAGCGGCTGAGAGCTGCCCACAGAGTGAGGGAGAGGGAGGGTGAGTGAGGGAGCAAGCGTGAGTGAGAAGGCGAGTGAGAGAGTGAATGAGAGAGAGTGAATGAGAGAGCGAGTGAGGTCGAGTGAGGGAGAGTGAGCAAGAGCAAGCAAGAGTGACGAAAAACAATTGCGGGAAGTGGATGTGAGTGTTCAACAAGTGGTTGCGAAGGAGGTTAGGTATAAGTTGGGAGTACGTCGAAGAAAGAAACCATAGACAAGAGTAAGGAAGGGGTCGCAACCTTGCAGGTCCTTTTTCTCTCCCTTTCGCCTCCTCACACCCACACGAATCCCACCTTTCCGCCCCTCCATCCTTCACCTCCCGCAGTCTCCTCCTACCTCCCCCTTTTCCCCGCTTTCCTTTCTTTCACACCCGCTCTACACCCCCCCTGTACGCGCACCAGTCCTGCAGCAGGAGCGCAAAGATGCGCCGGTTGAGGTCCAGTCCGCGCACCACGCGCAGCAGGTTGCGCGTGTGGCTCCCCTTCACGCGCGCCACGCCCCTTCGCCGATCCTCCGCCATCATCTCCGCCAGCGTGTCGAAATCCCGCCCCGCCACGTGCAAGTCCGCCACCTGTGCGGAGCAACGGGCGGAGGGTGATCAGGGGATCGCGGAGAACAGGGGAAGACAGAGAAAGGGAGGCGGTGAAAGGGGAGAGGGTGGGGGCAGGGAAGGGGGGCGGAGGGAAGGGAGAGGAGTGCACGTGCAGAAGGGGGAGGAAGAGGGAGGGTAAGCGGAAAGCGGAGCGGGAAGCGGGGACAACGCGATCACGTGCCAGAGGCGTCAAGACGACGAACCTTCTCAGAAAACTCCTTTCCGGCGAACGCAAACGCGGGACCGAGAACAGAGAACAGCCGCCCAATGCCGTCGCAAGCCTCCGCGAATTCCCCGACGCGCAGGCTCCTAGAAACCTCCTCACAAGCCGCGGAATTCGAATCCTCACCACCACTGCTGACAGCAGAGCGGCTAGTATCGCTACTGCTACCGCTACCGCTACCGCTGCCGCTGCCGCTGCCACTGTCGGCGCTTCTACACTCGCTCGCTAAGTTCCCGCAGCTTCCTCCGACACTCCAAGCGCGCGGATCCGCGGAAACGGCCGCACGGAGTGTTCTCTCGCTGGCGCTCGACCACTCCGCGCGAGCCTTCTGCGCGCGCTCCGCCGAGGGGGGTTCTTTAGCGCCGTCCTCCGCTCCGCTTTCCGCCACTCCGGGGGATCGAGCTTCCGCTGCCGACGGCGCCGTGAGGGCCTCGAAACGACTCGCGAGTGCCTCTAAAGGTCGCGTCTGCTGCTGCTGCTGCTGCTGATGATGCTTCTGTTGGTGGTACTGCTGGTGCATGTACTGGTGGTTGCTATTGCTAACCGCTGTCACCGCTGCTGCTGCTGCAGCGGCTGCAGCTGCTGCTTCAACAGATGCCGTTGCTGCCGTTAGCGACGGCCCATCCACCGCGATTCGCGGCTGCTGACTTTCGTGAACCAGCGCTGCAGCCATTCGACTGACTCGTGTCGAATCAGTCAAGGGATTTCAGCCGTAACTTAGTCCACTGCGTCAGGAGAAACAAAATAGCGGGCTGGGAGTAATGCTCGCGTCGCCGTCACCTTAAGATAAGGGAGATCTGGCAGAATCACGACGGCGATATATTTCTTCTGAATAAGAACCGTGCAAATGGCTGATACTATGGCGCTGGTTCCTGTAAAAAGCCGTTTTGGCCGCAGCGAATCCCGTCCACCCACCTGAAAGGCAATAATGGCAGAACGATGGTGTGAGCGGGATGGTGGCAGGCAGTGGAGGGGTGTGAAAATGAATACCAGTCTCTCTTTCCTTCTAGGAGTCCCTCCTGCTTGTTGCGGTGGTGCTTGAGGGGGGGGGGGGGGGGGCTGGGATTGGAGGACATGGGACTCC